CCCCCCCCCGTTCCCCCCCGTCTCGGTGCACTTTTTTTTCTGTGTGTGCCCTGCGGACAGATGCCTGCGGTACCCCGCCGTCCCGAGCCTAGCCGAGCGCCGCAGCTGGTGCAGCCCCCGATGCCGCCGCCGCCGCCGCCGCCGCCATCGACCGGTAGGCCCGGTGCTGTGCCTGCCCCGCCGGCTTCATTCAACGCGCACCAACAGCAACAGCAGCAACAGCGGGGTCGAGGGCAGCCGTTCCCGGCGCCGACGAACTTTGCCGGCCGCTCTCCGCCGCCCTCTTCCCCGTCTACGTCGTACGCCTTCTCTAACGCAACCTCCTCCGCCTCCAACTCCCAGGCCGAAGGGCAGGAGCAGCTCCCGGGTTCCGTTAGCTTCAACCACGGCGGGCCGGCGGCGGCAACGGCGGCGGCGGCGGCAGTGCCGGCTTCCCCGCCACCCCCGCAGGCGTTGTCCTTACCGGGCGAAGGCGGCGGCGGCGGTTATGTTCAACAGCAGCAGCAGCAGCAGCAGCAACAGCAACAACCACCGGAGAATACGGTGGATGAGCTGAGCGACCTACTGTCGAGCCTGAACATGGCCAAATTTAGGTGAAGAGAGGGAGGCAGAGAGAGAGGGAGGGGGAGGAAGAGAGGGAGGGACGGACGGACGGAAGGAGGGACGGAGGGAGAAAGGTAGCCTCTGTTGGAAGGTTGGAGAAGTGAGATCACATGTAAAAGTTCTCGCACAACTCCGGGTAGTTCGGAATACTGGCCTTCGTTTTTGTCGTGGGCGGGTTTTTAATAGAATCGGTGCTTGGTTCGTGCTGCCTCGTTCTCTGTGGCCGAAAATCTCGATACAGGTCGGCGTTCGACAGGCAAAACGTGGACTTGAAAGCTCTCAAGATGATGACCGCGGAGAGTGAGCTCTCTGGAATCGCCATCCCGCTGGGTGAGTTCCGGGAATATTCATAGTCACGAGTGTTTTCCAGAAGAGAACGGCGTTTCGAACGCGTGGCCGCTTGGTCAAGGCCGGGGGAGGGTAGAATTCGTCGTGTGGTCGAGGAACGAATATGGATCGTGACAGGGGAGGGAGAGATTGTCCGTGAGACGGGGGAGAGAATGCGGTGCGGATGAGGCAAGGCAATGGTTTCCCGGGGACATGGTGCGTTTGGTGATGGCGACAAGGATAGTGACGCCCTCGACACTCCAGATTTGTATTCTGACACAGGGACAAAGTGTTTCCTTCGGTGCATTTTCTGTGGAGAATCCGGGAGAAGCGTGAAAAGACTCTTCTACATTCTAGTCTGGTGGTCGGTATTTGAACTAACGTGGTCGGTGGTACGACTACCGTGGTCGGTATTACAACTAACGTGGTCGGTTTCTTAGGCCAACCTCCCTTCTCGAAGCCAGTAAATCACGGTCTCTTGTTTAGAGTCCAACGATATATGAACAGACTCCGCCCCCCGCCCCCCTCCACCCCCACTTGGTTAACCCCCTCTTCTATCAGCAGCTTCCTAATTACTGCGGCATTTCGTTTTTTTTGTACGGGAGTGCGCTCGAAGGCCGCCCTTTCCATTTCCTGCCATCAAACCACGTATACACAAGAACGATTTTCGTCAGTTCGTTGCGCTCGAGCACTGCTGCCGTATAACTCTCTTCCTTCGTACCCTTCTTCCCTTCCTTCTCCTCTCGCCTTCCGCCAGGCCCGCGAATAAAGCTCATGAAGGAGCTTGGCATCGCTAGGGGTCGATGAACGCGGCAGTGGCGTCGGCGGCTGCAGCGGCAGCCCCCCCCCCCC